TATTAATTAATTAATTAATTCTTAAAAGCAAATAGTAACCTTTAGTGATTTAGGTTTTGTTTGAGTTTTTGATTAAGTGATATCCTTGGGTCATTAGTTGGTAATGATCCTTGGCAATTGTTGTGAGTGTTGCGAAAATGATTTAGTTAGTTTAACTTGTAACTGTATCGCGAAGGAAAGTTGTATTCAAGTTGTTAATTTTGCATACATCATCGAGCATCATGTTTCGTATTCCGCATCATGTTAAACATGGCATTGTTACTACGTGTAGTGAATGAAGGTGAACACGTGGTAGTTAATCAAGTAGTTGAGGAAGTTGATCTGTCTGTGGTGGTTGGTGTTGATATCGGTGGAACGACTCCGGACCCGGACTTTTCCGTCAACGAAGGCAAGCCCCGGATGCATACAACCCTACCTTGTATTTTACAAATTGATTTCGCTTTTGCTTCTTTTTACTGCATTAAGTGATTAGGAGTCAAGTGAAAACCAAATTGGTACATTACCAACCTTGTTATTCCATATTTACCATATTACTAGTTTTAAATTCGTATATGCTTAGTTTTGCTTAGCTATGCTTAGAACGATGAAAGTCGGGTGATTACCTGTCACCTGCGAACTTTAAATGGAACTTTGGTTAATTATGTTAACATGTGATATGAGAATGTGGAGTAATAAATCTAGACCGGGCGGACTCGGTGTGTGAGAGCCACAAGACATGGAGGTCTTGTGAGCGGGTTCTTTCCGCCTGTGTCGATTTAGGTCCGTCCGTTGTTGAATTGCATGAGGTGAGATTTTGTAGTACTAACCACATACTCCGATAAGCCTTAACTTGGCTATTCTATTACGAGAATGGCTACTCACGCACTGGGAGTGGAGAGATGGCGGGAATAGCGTGTCCCCACGTGGCAATGGGTTGGATTGGTGGTGTACTGTATTCTCGGGTGGCGCGGACCCGTTCTTGTTTTAGAGGATCCGAGGGTAGGTTGATATATGTAAGTCGGGGACCTGCATATGTCGTGTGGTCTGGAATTCCTAGCTGGGTTTTTAATCGGTTCGAATCGTCGTTGCTCCTCGGTTATGGAGACTCAACTCACTGTTCATCATCGTAGTAATTAATAACTAGAACTTGAGGATGGTCTGTGAAGGTGTTGGTTATGAAGTTTCATGATCTCATTGCGGATTGTGTGAGCTTTGTATATGAGTTTATGAAGTTTTAAATGTTGATGTAAAGAATTTTATTAAAAAGCTTTTACGCAAAAGAACTTTGATTATTGCTAAAGCCATACCTTGAATCCCCGAGCCTGCATTCTTAAGTTCTATCAGTTTTTATTTTCGGTTAAGTCTTGTTGAGTACTTTTGTACTCTGGATTCGTTGACCCTTGTTATAGGTGAGGTTCATGAGCAGATGTGTTTTGGATCGTGCTGCATGACTGTTGTTCAGTGCGATGACGATAAGTAGATGTGTGGCCCTTGGGCAGGGCAGCTTTATTTGGGTGTGTTGTAATATATTATAATGCCACTCCACTACTTTGGTTTGTATTAATATCGAACTTAGTTGTATGGTTTAAAACAAATGGTTTGTAAACTATGTTATTGTAAGACTTCCGCTGTTTTTACTCTGATGTATCTATTTGAATAAACTGTTGTGATACTACAATGACTCTGTAATGTGATCCTGCTCAGAAATCGTGGATGATTCGGGGTTCCCTGAGGACACCCGATAGTCTTCTTAAGTTACCGAGAACGTATGCATAGATGTCAAAGGTCGTTGGACAGTGACAGGTGCATGTGGGCCCTGTAATTTAGGAGGTCTGCCACAGAATGGTATCAGAGCGATCGTTACAAAGTTTTTGTGGTATTGGTTTATGAAAACTTCAAAATAATTTGGGATGACTATAGTTAACTTATTAATTTGGTCCAAATTACTTCTGACTTGTCTTATTTCCTTCTCACCATTCCTTATTTGATACGTGGATTGTTCCAGAGAACGTTCCATGAGGTTAGGTCTTAGGCAATTTTTGGTTCTGGGTGTCCTGACGGATACTCCGTGACAACTAATGGACATTCTGGTAGCAACTGGCTGCTCTTGGGTTTCTGGTTTTTGCTCTCTATAAATCGACGGACACTCCATGAAAAATCACGGACGTTCGGTAGGAATTAGGTACTCTCAGGTTTCTCTGAAAAACACACTTTATAAATCGACGGACGCTCCACTGGGAATGGCGGACTCTCTGTCATCTAATTCATGGGACATGTAAGTGCTCAAATTTGGGTTTTGGCTATCTCGGGGTTTTGACGGACCCTCCGTCGGTCAAGACGGACACTCCGTCGAGTGGGCAACAGAACCCATGCTCATGGTTTCTCACTTGGGGTCTTGGTGATTCGACTCTAGATGTAGGGAGTTGTGCTCCATGCATGTGCAAGGGATTTCTAGGGTACCTTGGGTAGCTTGCTAGGATAGCTCAAGATGGCTAAGTTTGAGCTAGGTTTACCATGTGCAACTATGGATTTGGGAGTTAACCAAAAACTTGAGAAAAAGATATTAAATCTTGATCTTGAGCATGGCAACTTAACTCTGAGATTTTGAGGTCTACCATGCCATCAATCTTGGAGATAAAGCCTTTGAATCCTTGATTGCAACTTCCAAGAGATGGATTGATCATTTATTAGCTCCTCTTTTACAAAAATCCATAAAATTGCATCAAAAAAATCCAAGAGATGCAAGGAGTGATTGAGCTTAAGAAATCTTCTTGAACTTACTCTACATATGATAGAACCACCACCAGCAAAAGATCATCAAACTAGCACCAAAAACCACAAATTAGGTATTTGAGATCAAATCCAAGAAATGAGAGGGAGTTCTCTTGCAGCTGAAAGGACCTTGATGTCGCCTAGAGGGGGTGAATAGGCCTGTTAAAAATCAACTTGAACAAATATTATTTTCCTGCGCGGCACTGCTGCTCTGCCTGATAAGTTCGAGATCATAGTTCAAAATCTACCCAAGAAAATTTAGATCGAGCAAATTACTGAGCTTGCTGAGGTAGTGTTGAGCGTATTCCACCACTTGTTTGAAGTCAGAAACTTATGCACAAGTAGATCGAGGCCAAACCCTAAAATCACCAATAAACAAGTATAACACAATACAAAGCAAGAACACAAGAGAGACAATGTGTTTATCCCGTGGTTCAGCTCGCCACCAAGGCTTGTCTATGTTTACGTTGTTGAGGTAGCCACAAAGGCTTGGGTCTCTTTCAACCTTATCCTCATTCTCATGTCAAGAGAGCAAATCTCTTGAGATGAGGGGTTCTTACTAGATGTAGAGGGTGATAACAAACGTCCCGAAGCTGCCACAAGAGTTGGAAGCTTCCGGGCGAACCAAGTGCTCTACGAGTTGAAGAACAGATTGGTGAGCTCTCTAATGCAGTTTGGAGGGTCAAACTCTTATGGATTTGCAAGGGAAGCAAAGGAGAAGCTTGAGGGGCTCCAATGGAGTTAGAGAGAGGGAGAGAGCTGTTGTCGGAGCACTGGAGAAGGGAATGGTCGAGATGACCATTGGGAGAGAAGGGGGGGGGGGTTGAAGGAAATATCCCTTCCTCCAACGGTCAGATTTTAAGGCGGGGCACTGTTGCTCTGCGAGCGGCAGTGCTGCTCTGCTCTGGCAACCTCAAAACAAGGAATGAAAGGCAGATGTTTCCTCGTTCCCATTGTACTCAGGGAACGACAATTTGTGAGTGTTTGATGGACGTCTCAGCTGTTGTTGTTCACCTTTCTGGATGTCTTTGTTGTTCCGTGGTGGTTGCTGTTCCTCGGTTAGGACAGTCTGCTCCGCTATGATCTGCTTTGGGGAAGGAGTTGGTAATAGAGGTCGCTTTGGGGGGGGGGCACATATCTCTGTCCCTCCTCTTGATTTGGTTGTGTTGGGGATGATGACCTGGCGTGTTCCTCAAAAAAATTTGAACCTCTTTGCCCAGTGATCGATGATGTCGCGAATATCCTCCATGGAGTTGATCACAACGTGGCTCCAGATACCAGTTGTCAGGTGCCTAAAATCCCTGGGGCAAGTAGTGATCTTCTGAGGGCTGATCTGGACGGCGACAGGCTGTATTGGCGGCCTGGTGGCCGGCTGGTGCAGGCGGCGGCTGGCTATGGCCGGTGGACGGCGGCCAGGCTAGCTGGGGCTGCCGGCTGGGCAGCGGGAAGCAGCAGCAGTGGGGGGCTGCGGCCTTGGAGGGGGCACGGGCGTGGAGAAGAGGAGAAGCGGCGGCGGTAGAGAAAGAGAAGAGATAAAGGGATTAACCCTAAACTTGCTTGCCTTCTCATTGATTGTCTCCCTCGTGTATATATAAGGGGGTTACAATTGCTAGTTGACTTGGCCCAAGAGCCTAACCGTCCATCTGGATTAGATCTATAACAGCTGGGCTTAATGCCCCTCACTAAATAACTAGCCCGTTGCCCTATTCGGTGGTCTCCTTCTAGTATATGTCCTGCCGACCATGACAGATGACCTGTAAATTATTACTTTCCTTTGATGCTGGACATATTTATAGCATGCATCTTGCTTGCTACTTCTCTCATGTCCATCCGGTCTTTCAGTAACTGGCACGTACAAGAAAGTGCAACCTGTAGCATAGATAGAACACATCGATGAACAGCAGTGTCTATGTCGTCCATTCTTCCTTGAGTGGTTACTTTGCACATTTCTTGGATGGGGGCATCAATAATATCCGATATCTGATCTGGGAAGCTCTTATCTATGAAATCAACAAGGTTGGCTCCATTCTCAAACATTGGGTCAGTAGGTCTTTTCCCCGTCAACATTTCTAAAAGCACAATTCCGAAACTGTAAACATCCCCGCTAGTCGATACACGAGCACCTCCAGCATATTCTAAACAAAAGAACGTTAGTATTGCAATGCAATGTATCCATCATCGCAGTCTAAACGAAAAGAATAATCTTAATTAGTAATGCATATCAAACATATGGGAAGCAGGGACAATACCTGGAGCAATGTACCCAATAGTTCCCTTGATCCCGGCTGAAGTAGTTGAATCTGTTGATGTCATCAACTGAGAATTAAGATAGAAGCTTGCAATGCCAAAGTCACCCAAATGAGCAGTCATGTCATCGTCTATTAGTATGTTACTGGGCTTGACATCACAATGAACAATAGGACTTCCACTGTCATGGTGTAAATAATCCAATGCATCAGCTATGTTAACAGCTATGCTTAGTCTTTGAGTTAAGTTCAGATGTTTTGGAGATTTCACTTCCAGGTTGTTGTGTAACCATGTGTCCAGATTGCCGTTACGCATGAATTCATAAACTAGAGCTTTGAAAACATTGCCGTCGCTATCTACAGTAGAGCATGCAGTTATGATCGGCACAAGATTACGATGTTGAATTCTTCTCAGCGCTTCACATTCTGAGAAAAAACTTTTCTCTGCACCTCTCATATCAAGATCAAGCACCTTAACAGCCAGTTCAATTTTATTTTTCAAGATGTGTCCTCTGTATACTGAACCATAGCTTCCTCTGCCAAGCAGATTAGATTCAGAGAAGTTTTGTGTGGCTTCAGCTAAATCATTGTAGGATACTTTGGGGAATTGTTCACCGGTAAAATCTTGCAACGGCAATGATTCTCTTGCTTTCCTCATCCCAGTAAGAAGAAAATAGATCAACAAGATGAGTGACATGAATCCAAATATGGGAATGAGTATTCTAATCATGTAGTATTGTGTTAATCTTCTCCTGGACACATGAGGGCATGGCTGCATCTTTAGATCTACAGCTCCACCACAAAGCCCGGAGTTGTCACTGAGTGAGACAGATGCAGCATTCTCAAATACCCCACTGCTTGGTATTTCTCCATACAGATGATTGTAAGAGAGATCTAACAGGGCGAGAAATTTTAGATCACCCAGTGCTACAGGTATTGAGCCAGACAAATTGTTGTGTGAGAGATTAAGCAAGGCTAAGTTCTTCTGTCTGATCAAAGACATTGAAATGTTTCCACTGAGAAAATGATGGTCAATTTGAAGGATCTGCAATTTTTGACATTCCCCCAAAGAATCAGGAATTTCCCCAGAAAGTTTGTTTGATGAAAGATGAAGCTCAACAAGTTGGTTCAGATTGCCAATATCTGTGGGTATTGGACCATCTAAACTGTTGTAGGATATGTTATATATAGTTACTGTAGATGATAATTAAGTAAACATGTTGCCCTGTAGGTTATTATAACTAAGGTCCAAATGAGAGAGCTGTGAAAGGTTTAGTAAGCTAGGAGGTATGGGAGCTTCAAAATCATTGTTGGCTAACGAGAGATATTCCAAACGAGTAAGATTACCAATGGAGAACGGAATTGGTCCAATGAAGTTGTTATAACTAAGGTCCAACCGAGAGAGCTGTGAAAGGTTTAGTAAGCTAGGAGGTATGGGAGCTTGTAAATCATTGTTGGTTAACGAGAGATATTCCAAACGAGTAAGATTACCAATGGAGAACGGGATTCGTCCAATGAAGTTGTTTTCATCAAGAACTAAACCCTGTAGGTTTGTCATGTTTCCCACCCACTCTCCAATGGGACCAGTGAGGCTGTTGTTTTGTAGTTGAAGTGATGTTAGACCAGATAAGTATGATATGCTCATAGGAACAGTCCCCAATAGATTGTTTGTGTCTAAAGCTAGCCATTGAAGATTGGGAGATAACTTACCTATAGAATTTGGTATAGCTCCTTGCAGTTGATTTTGACTTAGCTGGAGCGTATACAGTAGAGTACAATTGCTCAGTGCGTCTAAGAATTCCCAGCTTTTGGTGTCTTTTGCTTCCAATTTGTTTTGCTGAAGTCCTATAAAATGGAGCCCCGAAAGTTTACCAAAAGAAATTGGAATTTGACCAGCGAAATGGTTATTTGAAAGATCTATATATACCAGCCCTGAAGCATTCCCTAATGAAGCCGGAATTTGACCTTCCAGCATGTTATCTCGTAGGCTTAGTGTTAAAAGATCAGGGAATATGTTGCCAATATTGGCTGGCGGTGCATTACCCAGCATATTTGAACCTAAGTCTAGAGCACGAAGGGAAGACCGATTGGAAATGGCAGGAGAGATGGAACCTGATAGCATATTTTCACCAAGGAACAGCTGTCTGAGATTGGGTAATTGCCAAAGCTGGTCGGGAATGACCCCTTGGAGCTGATTTGTTTGGAGGAAAACCCCCCGTAGCTGGGTGGCGTTGATGAGGCTTGGTGGGACGGTCCCAGTAAGACTATTTTCAACAAGGGAAAGAAAAGCTAATTTAGAAAGGAAACCTATTTTGGGGGGACTGTGTGTTAGATAATTTATTGCTACCTTGTGTGAACACAGTAAGGGAAGGCGGCGCCGAAAGACCCCCTGCTGGGATACTGTAGCCGCTGCAGGTGCAGGCGCAGACGCCGCACGGCTCACCTGCAGCACTGTAGGCGCATGCAGTGACCGGCGCAGAGTCAGCCCTATATGTTATGTAGTTACTATTACAGCATGTGCGCTGTATTAGGACTAGATGGATAGAGTTGTATAAATAGACTACCACGGCAACTCAGTAAAGAGAGTTCAGATTTGCCATCTCACAGACAGGGCTTCAGCCAACGCTGGTGTCTTGTATTGTGTGTGTATGCTCTGTTCTCCCTTCTTCTTCTAGCTCCAGCCATAGTGTGTGGGGACGGACAACGCTTGTTCGTGGTCGGCACGGCTAGTGGGTGCTCGACAACACTAGCGGGTGCTCGGCAAGACTGGTGAGTGGTTCACTCAACTGAGCCAATGATTTTATGGGCCAACAAGTGGTATCAGAACCGTACAATCGTCGTCGCTAGACTAACCGCTGGCGATAACGGGCGGTTCGGAGATGGACGACAGCAGTGGCACTACTGTGGCTGCCCAGCCACGACCGGAGGTTGTTGTTCGCACAGTGCGGGAGGTCAGTGGCACCAGTTGGCCGACGTTGACTCGCACCAACTATGGAGAGTGGTCGGTGACCATGAAGGTCAAGCTTAGAGCCCGACGGTTCTGAAATGCTGTTGACAAGGGCACCGACAATGAAGAAGATGACATGTCAGCGTTGGAGGCTATCCTCGCTGCTGTACCGGCGGAGTACAGGGAGCCGTTGGGGGCGAAGAGCTCGGCTAAGGAGGCTATTGCGGCGATGCGCGTCGGTTCCGACCGGGCAAAGAAGGCGACGGTCCAGCTTCTGAAGCAGGAGTACGCCAACCTCAAGTTCAAGGATGGTGAAACAGTGAAGGACTTCTCCCTCCGCCTGCAGATGCACATCAGCAAGCTGAAGAGCCATGGCGTCACCATTGACGAAGAAGAGGCGGTCTCCAAGTACCTTCACTCAGTGCCGGTAAAGTACATCCAGATCGCTCTCTCCATAGAGACGATGCTGGATTTGTCCACCCTCACCATTGAGGATGTGACAGGCCATCTACGGGTGGTGGACGAGCGCCTGGAGCAGGCGACAGCAACGAAGGACAGCGGGAAACTCCTGCTGATGGAAGAGGAGTGGGCTGCTCGGAGGAACTCCGGGAAGGCAGCCTCCTCCAGCCGCGGTGGCGATGGCAAGCGCCGCGGTATGGCTTCTTCGAAGAAGAAGCAGGTCGACCCCAATCCTGCCGACGTTGCGGGAAGATAGGCCATTGGGCACGGGAGTGCCCAAATCGCAAGCAGGAGAAGAAGGCTTAGGCTCACTTGGCGCAAGCCGATAATGAGGATGAGGCCACTATCCTGATGGTGACGTTCTGTGCACTGCATGAAGTCAAGGCCGAGGAGAGGAAAGAGGCGACGATGCTGGAAGGACCTGGGAAGGTCCTGAAGACCGTCAACCTCGATGAACCACGCACCCAAGTCCACCTCGGACGTGTGGGCGCCGACCAGGAGCAGTGGTGGTATCTAGACTCTGGTGCCAGCAACCACATGATGGGCTCCAAGGCATCCTTCTCCGAGCTCAACGACGATGTTACCGGTATGGTGAAGTTTGATGACGGCTCAAGGGTGGCTATCCAAGGGCGCGACACCATCATCTTCAGGTGCCAGAACGGGGAGCACCGCGCGCTAACGGATGTATACTACATCCCACAGTTGCGTTCTAGCATCATCAGCATTGGTCAGCTGGATGAGTGCGGTAGCGAGGTACTGATCAAGGACAGAGTCCTTAGGATCAGGGACCAGGAGCAGCGACTTCTTGCCAAGGTGAAGAGGTCCCTGAACCGGTTGTACCTACTCGACCTGAAGGTAGAGCAGCCGGTGTGCCTAGCGGCAAGGCACTCCGAGAAACCGTGGATGTGGCATGCCCGGTTCGGACATCTCAGCTTTGACGCGCTTGGTCAGCTAGAGAAGATGGTCCGAGGGCTACCCCACATCAAGCATGGAGGCAAGCTATATGACAGCTGCCTGGCCGGGAAGCAGAGGAGGCTACCTTTCCCAAAGACGGCCTAGTATCACGCGAAGGACGCTCTCGAGCTCATCCACGGTGACCTCTGTGGGCCGATCACGCCTGCTACAAACGGTGGTTGGTGGTACTTCCTCCTGCTCGTAGATGATTGCAGTCGCTACATGTGCCTGCAACTCCTGACGAGCAAGGACGAAGCGGCGGCGGTGATCAAAAAGTTAAAGATGCGCGCAGAGGCCGAGAGCGGCAAGAAGCTCCGCGTACTAAGGACTGATCGCGGCGGCGAATTCACTTCGGTGGAGTTCGCTGCATACTACGTGGATCAGGGTGTGGGGCAACACCACACCATGTCGTACTCGCCACAACAGAATGACGTGGTGGAGCGACGGAACCAGACGGTGGTTGGCATGGCCCGATCCATGATGAAGGCCAAAGGCATGCCGACAAGGTTCTGGGGGAGGCGGTGACCACGACGGTGTTCATCCTCAACCGCGCTCCGACCAAGGCCCTGATGGGCAAGACGCCGTTCGAAGCTTGGTATGGGCACAAGCCGAGCGTGTCCTTCCTCCGGACATTCGGCTGCATCGGCCACGTTAGGAAGACAAAGCTGAACCTCACCAAGCTGGAGGACAGGAGCACACCCATGGTGTTTCTGGGCTACGCGGAGGGTACCAAGGCATACCAGCCCTACGACCCATGTGGAGACAAGGTGCTTGTCTCGCGCGACATCGTGTTTGACAAGGAGGCGGCTTGGGACTGGAGCAGTCCGAGCAAGGGGGAAGCTGGCAGCTTCACCAGCATCTTCGTCGTCGAGCACTTGGTCATCCACGGTGGTGGAGACGCTGGGGAAGAGGTGCCGAGCACTCCGAGAGGAGCGCCGAGCACTCCGGCGGTAGAGCCGAGCACTCCTGGGGCAGTGACGAGCACTTCGGGAGGGATGCTGAGCACTCCGGGAGGAGTGTCGAGCACTCTTGGAGGGATGCCGAGCATACCAGGAGTGGTGCTGGGAGGTTCTGCAGTGGTGGTGACCACTCCAGGGCGGGTGCCGAGCACTCTCATGACAGAGCCAAGACATCTTGCAGTGGTGCCGACCACTCCAAGACTGAGGCTGGGCACTCCTACAGTGTGGCCGAACACTACAAGAGTTATGACGAGCTGTCCAGAAGTAGTGCCGAGCACTGTAACCACGGGGCCGAGCACTCCAGGTGCTATGCTGAGCACTCTAGCGGAACAGGGAACTCCATCAACGCTGATCAAGTTCGTCTCACCTCCAAGTGACATCACTGAATTTGTGGATGCCTTCTACGAAGGTGAGGAGGTGCGGTTCTGCAGGCTGGACGACATCGTCGGCGGCACAGGACCCTCAGGACTGGCTGGTCGGTTGCTCAATGACGCAGAGCTGCTGCTAGTCAGTGCAGAGGAATCACCCATGTTCATGCTGGCCGAGTGGGACGGAAACTGGCAACGGGCGATGCTGGAGGAGATGAAGGCGATCGAGGAAAACGAGACATGGTAGCTCATCGATCCACCTCTAGGATGCCGTCCGATCAGTCTAAAGTGGGTGTACAAAGTTAAGCGGGATGAG